TGTACACTCTAGAGGAAAGAGGAGTACTGTTGGCACTATGCACTCTATAAAGGAAGGATGACTACTTCTGACACTGTAAACTCCATGGGTGGAGTAGCAGTGCTGGCAATACACACTCTAACGGGAGTAGCAGTACTGCTAGCACTATAAACTCCAGGGGGAGGAAGAGTACTGCTGGCTCTATACACTCTAACGGGAAGAGGAGTACTGTTGGCCCCATACCCTCTAAAGGGAGGAGGAGTACTGCTGGCACTGTGCACACCAGGGGGAGGAGGAGTACTATATGCACTGTACACTCTAGGGGGAAGAGGAGTACTGTTGGCACTATGCACTCCACAACGGGAGGATGACTACTTCTGGCACTTTAACTCCATGGGTGGAGTAGAAGTGATGGCAATACACACTCTAACGGGAGTAGCAGTGCTGCAAGCACTATAAACTCCAGGAGGAGGAGGAGTACTGCTGGCTCTATACACCCTAACAGAGGAGGAGTACTGCTGGCTCTATACACTCTAACGGGAGGAGAAGTACTGCTGGTACTCTACACTCTAACGGAAGGAGAAGTAATTCTGGCTCTATACACTCTACTGGGAGGAGGAATACTGCTGGCTCTATACACTCTAACGGGAGGAAGAGTACTGCTGGCTCTATACACTCTAACGGGAGGAGAAGTACTGCTGGCTCTATACACTCTAACGGGAGGAGAAGTACTGTTGGTACTGTACACTCCAGGGGAGGAGGAACACCACAGGCACTGTACACTCTGGGGAAGGAGGAGTACTACAGGCAATGTACACTCTAGAGGGAGGAGGAGTAATACAGGCACTGTCCACTCCAAGGGAGGAGGCGTACTGTAGGCACTGTACACTCTATGGGAGGAGGAGTACTACAGGCACTGTGCACTCTAGGGTGAGGGGGAGTAATACAGGCATTGTACACTTTTGGGGAAGGAGGAGTACTACAGGCAATGTACACTCTAGGGGGAGGAGGAGTAATACAGGCATTGTACACTTTAGGGGGAGGAGGAGTACTACAGGCAATGTACACTCTACGGGGTGGAGGAATACTACAGGCACTGTACACCTCAGTTGGAGGAGGAGTACTACAGGCAATGTACACTCTAGGGGGAGGAGTAATACAGGCACTGTAAACTCTAGGGGAGGAGGTGTACTATAGGCATGGTACACTCTAGGAGAGGAGGATTACTACAGGCACTGTACACTCTAGGGGGAGGAGTACTACAGGCAATGTACACTCTAAGGGGTGGAGGAGTACTACAGGCACTGTACACCTCAGTTGGAGGAGGAGTACTACAGGCAATGTACACTCTAGGGGGAGGAAAAGTACTACAGGCACTGTATGCTCTAGGGGAGGAGTACTACAGGCAATATACACCCCAGTTGGAGGAGGAGTACTACAGGCAATGTGCACTCTAGGGGAGGAGGAGTACTACAGGCAATATACACCCCAGTTGGAGGAGGAGTACTACAGGCAATGTGCACTCTAGGGAGAGGAGGAGTACTACAGGCAATGTAAACTCTAGGCCCTAGAGTCTAGGGGGAGGAGGAGTACTTTTGGCACTATGCACTCTACAACGGGAGGAGTACTTCCGGCACTGTAAATTCCATGGAAAGGAGTAGCAGTGCTGGCACTATTTACTCTAATAGGAGGAGCAGTACGGCTGGTACTGTAAACTCCAGGGGAGGGGGGCGATTACTGCTGGCCATATACACTCTAAACTGAGGAGGAGTACTGTTGGCACTATAAATTCCAGGGGAGGAGTAGCACTGCTGGCACTATACACTCAAACGGGAGGACGAATACTGCTGGTACTGTACTCTCTAGGAGTCTAGGAGGAGAGGGAGTACTGCTGGCACTATACACTGTAAAGGAAGGAGGACTACTGTTGGCACTATAAACACCAGGGGAGGAGTAGCACTGTTGGCACTATACACTGTAAAGGAAGGAGGACTACTGTTGGCACTATAAACTCCAGGGGAGGAGTTGCACTGCTGGCACTATACACTCTAACGGTAGGACGAGTACTGCTGGTACTGTACACTCTAGGGGGGGGGGATTACTGCTGGCCACATACACTCTAACGGGAAGAGGAGTACTGCTGGCACTATGCACTCTAACGGGAGGACGAGTACTGCTGGTACTGTACTCTCTAGGAGCATAGGAGGAGAGGGAATGCTGCTGGCACTATACACTCTAACGGAAGGAGGAGTACTTTTGGCACTATAAACACCAGGGGAGGAGTAACGCTGTAGGCACTATACACTGTAAAGGAAGGAGGACTACTGTTGGCATTATAAACTCCAAGGGAAGAGTAGCACTGCTGGCACTATACACTCTAACGGGAAGACGAGTACTGCTGGTACTATACACTCTAGGGGGAGAAGGAATACTGTTGGTACTGTACACTCTAGGGGGAGAAGGAGTACCACTGGTACTGTACACTCTAGGGGGAGAAGGAGTACTGCTGGTACTGTACACTCTAGGGAGAAGGAGTACCGCTGGTACTGTACATTCTAGGGGGAGAAGGAGTACTGTTGGTACTGTACACTCTAGGGAGAAGGAGTACCGCTGGTACTGTACATTCTAGGGGGAGAAGGAGTACCACTGGTACTGTACACTCTAGGGGGAGAAGGAGTACTGCTGGTACTGTACACTCTTGGGGAGAAGGAGTACTGTTGGTACTGTACACTCTAGGGGAGAAGGAGTACTGTTGGTACTGTACACTCTAGGGAGAAGGAGTACCGCTGGTACCGTACACTCTAGGGGGAGAAGGAGTACCGCTGGTACTGTACACTCTAAGGCAGTGATTCTCAAACTGGGGTCCGTGGCACTTAGCTAGGTGGTCCGTGAAAAGTTTTTCAGAAATAGTGCGTTTAACGTTTGTGTGAGATTTGGCGATTCCAATTCGCAGGATATTTTGTATTTGGGTTGAAATAAACAAACGCTTTGGACAATGATTTATTCTTTGATTATTGACAATATTTGTATGCGTCATGGTATATACAGTAGGTACTATAAATTGCCATTGTGTTGTTTTTGTTTTTTGTTTTTGTTTTTAACAAACTGACCAGACTGGATAGACTGCTTTGTTGGGTATGCTATAACTGATCCATGTCGTCTATCATTAGCACTAAGTTTACTGTGTTTTTTCGTTCTGTTGCAAATGCTGAAAAGATTGCATTGCACTATTAATAATAAATTTGTGTTGTTTTACCGCTTGATATGCAAATTAAACATGAAACATCAATTAAGTGAAGTTGGACACACTCTCAAGGCAGGCCCTGAGGGAGGGAATGTGGAGGGTTGGAGGCAGGTGAGGTGTAGTAACGGTGTAGTATTATCTCAATTTCATTATTACCCCCAGCAGGCTACTGCTCATGATGTTATGTTTATTTTATATGTCAATTGTTTGCATCCACAGTGTTTTATGGCAACTTAAACCAAGTTTGTTTAACTTTCCCATATCTGGTCCCAGTAATTCGCATATTTATACACCAAATTTTAAGAAGATTTAAATATCGTTTCAGACAATTCCGTCATGTGCTTCTAGTAGCGAGCCGTTCGCGTGCCTGATAGTAACAACAGTGGCTCACAGTGACAGCAGCGGGCAGTCTGGTATCGTCCCTAGCTAGCTAGCTGTCATCATGGACAAGTTTGTAAAACGACCGGCATCCAACGTTATAAGTGAACTTGAAGAACCATCAAAATCGTCAGGAAAGGTGAGAAAATATGACGATAGTTATATTGAATTGGGCTTCATTGAAAACAAAGACGGGAGACCGAAGTGTGTCATCTGCACGCAGGTGCATTCAAACGATGCTATGAAGCCTGCTAAACTGAGGAGACATCGAAATACGAAACATCCGGATTGAGCGTAAGAGAGGGGTGTACTGCCAACAACAAACTACGATGACAAGTCTCACCACCATTCCCCAGAAGGCACAGCGGGCCTCCTACCTGACAGCCCAGAGGATAACCACAAGCATGAAGTCCCACACGATCTGAGAGGAGCTGCGGTGGAGATGTGTGATGTGATGATCGGGAAAGAGGCCGCAAGCAAACTTAAATCTGTACCTCTCTCAAACGACACAGTAAGGAGGAGGATTGAAGACGTGTCCTGTGACATAAAATCGCCACTTGTGGCAAGATTGCAAACGTGTCATTTATCAATTCAACTCGACGAGTCCACCAACGTGTCAAATTCCGTCCAGCTCATTGCGCTCGTTCGCTACCCATGGGATGGACACATTTTTTAGGATTTTTTGTTTAGTAAAAAGGTGACTGGGCGAGCACAGGTGAGGAAATATTCAATATACTTGATACTTTCATGAGCGAAACAACGCTGAAATGGGAGAACTGCTTTGCTGACTGCACCGATGGCTCAGCTGCTATGACTGGCCGCAAGAGTAGGGTGGTGGCAAGAATAAAGGCGCTCAATCTGCAGATTGTAGCCACGCACTACATGCTGCATAGGCAGGCTCTCGCCTCCAAAGATATGGCCCCTGACCTACACTTTGTTCTTAGTACTGTTTTGTCTGTGGTTAACTATGTGAAGTCAAGGCCACTACAGTCTCGGCTGTTCGCGCAGCTGTGCAATGAAATGTGTGCAGGACATGACACACTACTGTTCAACTCTGATGTCGATGGCTCTCCCTTGGGAAAGTTTTACAGTGGGTGTTTGAACTGCGCACCGAGCTGTGCGAGTTTCTGAAAGAAGCCAAGCTCACCACCGCAGAGCTTTTTTCTGACCTAGAGTGGATAGCCCAGCTCGCCTATCTTGCCGACGTGTTCAACATATTGAACGAACTCAATTTATCCATCCAAGGCGGCTATGCCTCGATCCTGGAGGTCAGAGATAAAATCAAGGCCTTCAGGGGGAAAACCGAGATCTGGAGAAAGCGGGTCCTGAATGGGATCACCAACTCCCACAACTCAGGAAGTATTTGGTGAGAAATCCGATCCGTTGTCACCTCACTACAATGAATAAACATTTCAGTTCGTACTTCACTGATGTTGACACCGTTGCCTGGGACTGGGTTCGGGATCCATTTGTTGCCCATTCATCAGCGCGTGGTCTCAGTGGAAAGGCAGAGGAAGAGCTGTTGGAGCTGCCATGCGATGGGACCCAGAGAATCCGGTTCCGTCAAGGTGTGCATGTAGACTTTTGGCCTTCTGTTCAACAGGAGTATCCTGAACTCGTTGTTACTGCTATGAAGATCTTGTTCATTTTTCTAACTATGTACCTCTGCGAGGCATCTTTCTCAGCTCTGACAGCCATGAAGACCAACTACAGGGCTCGGATGCATGTGGAGAATGACGCATGAGTTTGCCTCTCGTCCATCCCTCCAAGGATAGAGAAGTTGTGCACTGAGAGACAGGCCCACATCTCGCATTAATAATGAGACACATTTGATATTGGTGTGAGAGAGAGAGAGAGAGAGAGAGAGAGAGAGAGAGAGAGAGAGATTGAATTTAAGTGGATCTCTTATGCCATTTCCCTGGTGGAGATATGTTGCATTTATCGATTTTGCGTGTTGTATGTGTTCACTTGTAGAAAAGTGATAATCCTCATCTATCCACTTGCCTACCAACCAACATAACTGTCGTCAGTGTGGTAGAGAGGGGCTACTTAGTACATGTGTATTGGATGAAGGATGGTGTTTTCTTCCTCCTATTTTGGATTGTACCTTTTTATTTGAATTGTTCTTTTGAGTTTTAATACCATCAAAGGTGCCACTTGGGGATGGGGGTTAAAGATTCTTTTTGGCTACGGTTTGTGTGATTCACAGCTTTCCCTGAGTGTTAATATTCTGAAATGGTGCACAGATATATCCAATACATTTCTTTTCATTTGTGCTTGTTTGTCCACATAACCTATATAGAAGTGTGAAAAATAAGCCCAATATAAAATTATTTGGGGGGGACATATGTCAGGGGGTCTTCGGTTTATTTTCTCTCATATAAGGGGTCCTTGGTTGAAAAAAATGGACAAGGACTGTCGAACACTTCACAATGACGTCTCTCACGACCGGCCCTTGACGTGGGTAGAGTCCTCCTAAGCAAGATATAATATTTCGCTACAATTTATACAATATTAACACCCGACATACGAGCATAATAATGTGTCATAAATCAACAAAACAAGTAAATTACCACAGAACAAAAAACACATCAAAGGTTCTCCTACCCATGCACTCTGGCTGAGGGATGGAAGTCCTGTGACTACTTCACTTACCCTCCCAGCGATCATCACCTCAGTTCCGGGTTGAGTAACCCAACACTGACAAGACACACGTAAACAACCCTAAACAACACCATCACCAATTTTCCCTACAGTTTACTGCTTTGGAGGGATTCAAATTCAAATTCAAAATATTCATTGAAAAATACATCAAAAGGAGCTAGTTAGCATGCTAACTAGCCCGCCCAAAACTAGTCTTAACAAGAGCTCTTTAATTTTTTTACAAATCATATGTCAGATATGTATACAACAAATAGATAGGCATAAAATCTACATTATGTTAAATTATGTTAAACCTACAGAATTAGTAATATTCTTACCCATATTTTTGTGTATTAAATAACAATCTATCTCTAATATCAGGAATACCATCACCCATAAATTCTGATAAACAGTTACATTCCATAATATAATGATATAATGTATGGAACTTTACATAGCCACACATTTTACAAGGAATGCCATCAGTTCCTTCAATATATTGCCAATAATATTTGTATCCAAAGCATAGTTTCATCACAAATGCATCATACTTAACTGTAAAGGACCTGGGACTCAGGGATAGAAATCCCTTACCAGGCTAATCAGGATCTTAATAAAGGAAAGTCAAGGACCATGGTTTTCCGAGGAATAACAAACAACCGTTTGAGATTGGCATCTCTTTACTATAAAAATTTAACACAAAACTCTGACACCACTCAACAAACATCAAATAATTACGGGAGTCAAACAATTAATGGAAGCAAACAATTAAAGCAATCAAACAAATAATGGGAGTCAGCAATTAATGGATTCAAACAATTATAGAATCAAACCATGAACAAATATTTCCTACGGCAGTGGCCCTGGGGGAAGGTTCTGGAACATGGTGATGCACACTGAGGGTAGGGAAGCGTCCCACACTCGAGCGACGTCTTGAAATGGCAGAACACCGGGGGATAGACGGAATGAGATGTATTGACGGTCGTGGTATGCGGTAGTGGTAGATGACCAGAGAGTTGACAGTTGACAGGTGATGGTCTGGGAACACAGCCCACGAGTCCAGGACCTATGATGAGATCACAGCCAGAATTTGACGGACAGCAGGGTAGCTAGATACTGACGGTATGGCGGCTGGGTTGAATCTGCCGGTGGCGCAGATAGTGGCTGCCGTTCTCACCTCCGTCCAACCACCCCAAGTGTCGTCTGCACCAGCAAACGAGCGAGTTAGCAGCGGTAACCAGCCGGAGGATCGTTTCCGCCCTTACACTGCTCCCCCAACAAAAATCTACTGTAAGGTAGATTAAACTTAATATTAGTACACAAAGCATAATCATCTTACAACAAATGCTTAAATACACATTGCACAATAAAGAAGGGTCATAGAAAAGAATAGGTGATAACTTGATGTCCTAAACGTAAGGCCGTATCAAGGAACTGCATGTGGGGTCCACTTCAGTCCAAGTTTAAGTTTGGGCCCAATTCCAGTCGTAGAGGATTCTTCTATCTCGTCAGGTGTTGGCAGCAACTGGCAACCGAGATCAACAGACTCTGGCGTCCGAACTTCACAGGAACTCTTGCAGGGTAGTGCCTCGACTAACTCCAGCTTGGGGACGTCGTCAAGGACACGAGCAATGTGGGTCCTGCAAATATATTGCTTTAACAAATTAGCTTGATGTAATTTAGGCTTCTTAGAGGAAGGGGGTGAGAATCGTCCAACAAACTCTATGGCTACCCGAGAAGATGGTTCTGCAACGACGGGTAAGGGTTCAAGTGGAACAGGACGGACTCTACCCTTGGCGGACATACGTGGGCACTGATCACAACTCCTACAAAAAGCTCTAATATCCGCTCCCATACCTGGCCAGTAAAACTGATCAGCAACCTTCCTATAAGTTTTCCTACGAGAACAGTGACTTACAAGAGAGCTCTTGTGAGCTACAGAGAGAATGTTACGACGACAAACAGCAGGGACAACAAGTAAAAACCGACCTACTTTGGCTGGTCGCTTGGATGAAACACAAGACCTGTGTAACACCCCATTAATAGAAACAAACTTATAAACCGACCCATCTCTCACCTGATCCTCCTCCCCGGAAGTCACCTTCTCCCTTACCCGCTTCAGAGTGGCACAAGAGTCTTGAAGCTTGGCGAACTCCTTGGGCGTCACAGTCAGTGGCAACAAATTCGGCAGAATAAGGGGATACGGTCGTTTCACCTTCGCCGTCCGTGGCCCTACAGGTTGGACCTTGGCGGCAGGTGTGGCGGCGTGAAAGGGTGGCGAGGCGACCTCGGCAGGTGGCGAGTCGTCGTCGTCAGCAGGTGGCGTGAGGACTGGTGCTGGTGGTGAGGAGACTGGTGCTGGTGGCGAGGAGAGTTTTAACGTTTCCGGGTCGTTAGGGTCACGAACACCGGGAACATTTCCAATTAGGACACTAGCAAATTTAATGGGAGCTCTTACCACATTAGACCACCCAGTGAAATAGGGGCAACGCAGGTAGCACCTAACAACAGGGAACTGGTCAACACGACCTAAATAATCGGCGACACTAACCTTCGGGCAGCTGGAGATGTCAGCGTCAGGCAGGGCTTCTTCAGAGACAATAATGCACGAGCAACCAGTGTCCCTGATGAAAGTAGATGCCCTAGACCCATTTATTGTTCCACTGACAATAACGGGGGCAGCTCCTGTCTTCCAAACAAAACAAGACAAGAAGTATTCTCTGGAGATGTCGGCAGACAGGGACGTGTAAATCTCTACCGGCTTACCACTCAGTAGGCTACCCAACCTTACAGCATAGCTATCTGGGTCCACACCAAGCAGCTCGGCTACCCGTTCAAACCTAACAAGGTAGGAGGCGATGTCTTCTCCTTCACGATACACAGGCAAGCTGGGTTTTACCACATTATCTTGGATATGGCCAGCGGATTCTGGTCTACTTGAAGCATTAATCCCTGCTAGTTCCAGGTCCTTTTCTGCCTGCAACTTAGCGAACTCGAACTCTTTCTCTATTACGTTCCTTTCTCTCAATGCTGCGTTCACCTCCCCCTCTCTCTCTCTCTCTCTCTCACTGCTCCATTCCTCCATCTCTTTCTTTCTGACGTTCCTCCATCTCTCTCTCTTTGACATTCCTCTCTCGGCATTCTGTTGGGTGACCACATACTGACCAACCTCAGTACCTATCAGACCCAGGGCCACCGCTTGACCTTTCAATTCCTCAAAACTAGACAATGATCCGAAAGGCCAAGAGCAAAAAGAAAAAATACGCAACTTACCCCGCAAATAGCCAAATGTTACTTACCTTGTGGCTCAATCAAACCAATAAATGATTTGATACGACTGGAGGGAACCTTGTTCCGCACCCAGCCCAGCTTAATCAACCTCAGGTTAAAGAAACCGCACCAGGTGAAACAGCAACAAAATGCTATGACAGCATCCACAGTGCACCCCAACCAACACTAATAACTCCCCCTATGTACAAGGGAGAGCAACAAAATTAGCACAACAGGAGGATGGGATAAGCACTGAACAACACTTACTTCTGCGCCACAGACAGCAAGCGGAGCGCACACGGCGACTTACAACAAACACCTGAATGAATGTTAGTCCTCAGAAACCAAAGGTCAGAGACAAATCCTGGCAAGGTCGCCACTTGTAAAGGCCTGGTTCTTAGGGATAGAAATCCCTTACCAGACTAATCAGGATCTTAAAAAAGGAAAGTCAAGTACCATGGTTTTCTGAGGAATAACAAACAACCATTTTAGATTGACATCTCTTTACTATAAAAATATAACAAAACTCTGACACCACTCAACAAACATCAAATAACAATTACGGGAGTCAAACAATTAATGCAATCAAACAATTAATGGAGTCAAACAATTAATGCAGTCAAACAATTAATGGAGTCAAACAATTGAAGTCAACTGATAGAATGAAACAATGAAAGGGAGTCAGCAATTAATGGAATCAAACAATAAAAAGAATCAAACAATGAACAGATATTTCCTACGGCAGTGGCCCTGGGGGAAGGTTCTGGAACGCAGTGATCCACTCTCAGGTGGATGGTCCTCATTCCAGCAACAGCGGCCGATGTCTTGATA